CACCCTTTTCAGTGTGACGATTGCGTGCGAAGCGGTCGGCCGCGTGACAAACGCCTCTTATTGATTGTCTTTCGTGCTTTAAGTGACAAGAGGCCCTTTTGAGTTTTGAAACGCTAAAAATGTGTGACTCGAGAGGAAATCGCCTCGTGTTGGATATAGATTAATTGTGCGCGTATACCGGGGCGAGTAGAAGTCTAGAAAAATAATTGTCACACGACAGTCTGCCGGTTAATTGCTTTGGAAGTTAATATTGAATTGTAACGTCGCGTTAAGTGCCTTTGTTGAAGTCATCTAATCTCGTGCATTTTTGTGTGACAACGAGGCGGATCTCATATAATTTTGTTGTAACCGTTTTGAGTATTGTTTGCGACTGCTGGGTTGGTTGCGCGCGGCCAGTGTAGATATTTTGACGGTCTAGAATTTTAGTAAATTGTGCGCGCCTAATTTACTATTGAATATTTGGGTCTCGTGTAGACCGCCTCAAATTGATTTGTCTGATGTGTACGTTTCGTGACGGGAGGCTTGTATTGAGTTTGAATTATTAACTTAACTTTGATTGACATTGGTTGATTCGACGAGTTTCTTCGTGGCATTTTAATATCGTGCGAAGGAATTTTGCCTTGTTATGTGGAACGCTGAACTTTGAGACTCGAGAAGAGGCCGCGTTCGTTCCCGCGTAATTTTGTGCTAAGTGAACCTGGAACATTGAATATTGAACTTTGAACGACTGTTCGTTACTTGTGTTTTGTGTCACTTGTTTTAATTTCGACGAACGTTGAGTTGGTTGACTTTGACGTTAATTAAATGTACAATAAAGTTGATAAATTAATACAGTGAAGTAAACGCAGAAGTTTTCAATTGGTGATCGCCCCCCTTGAGAGATCTCACTTTTGGAGAGAAGCAGCGCTTGTGGATCTGCGGTCCGACTTCAACGGTTAAGTTAGGTTACATTGTACACACTACTTACATGCACATCACTTACCACCTGACTGGTACCCTGTGGTCAACCCTACCTCCGGAGATCGGTAAGTTTTGTTTGATTATCAGCCGTTTAAGAACAATTGTCCATAGGCCATTTGGGCCCCTCCCTTGGTTGTCCGTCGTGACTACCACTCATGGGCCCTGGTACGGTCGATCTTTGTCGGGGCAGCTAAGGGCGTGAACAAGTATATTTATATATAATTCCAGCGTGCTTTTACGGAAACAAAAATGTGTATTTATAAAAATAATAATAATATCTTACCTTGGTCAAGTATGTATCAAATTTGATTTTTGGAAAATTTTGTATTTCTACGGCGATCTTTTTCGCTGCAAACAAGCGATACAAATATTCACTCACGACGGCGGCCGGGGCCGTAATGACGAATGACAAGACGGAGTAGAACAGTGTATTTAGTAAAATAAATTAATACAAGGCTCACAAACCACCGAAAAATTCGCTCATTTAGAGTCGAAAACAACACAACAAAATAAAATTATAACTAAACAAAACAAATAAAACTGCCATTTATATTCAATCGCTTCCCCCGTGATAGATGAAGAATTCTAAAAATAGATTGAGTAACAATTGTTGTTAAGTTTATTTACTCGAACATACATATGTACACATATTTACATACAAACAGACAAATATTATAAACAAATATTCACAGAACACAAATAAACATACATCAATGCATAATACACCTACATGTAACAAATGCTCACAAACACATATATAATACGTATACCACTCCTAATCCATGCTTAGCGAATTTAAAGGCTAATTGTTTATTTTACAAAGGCAGTCCGAATAAATCGTTACTAAAGAACACACGCCTCTTTCTGTCAACATCAAGTAAATCAAACAGTGTATCTTAAGTACAACAACAATTGATATTTTCAAAAGTTATCCGCCATGCGGATTTGATAAATCCACACCATAAGCCACTAAAACGCCTTTTTTATGTAAAAATAGCAATTAATAGATTAAAAAAATATATTAATAAGTTCAACAATCATTTATCTTTTTGAAAATCTAATTTTAATATCATTTATATGTATAATATGATTGCTAGATACGATTTCATGCGACAAAACGTTGAAATCCTAATTTTTAGGCCCTAGCAGAACATACCTGCGTGCTTCGCGCTTAAGGCATGCAAAAGTACCTTAAAATAATTATTAAAAATTAATTGTTTTCTTTAATTAAATAATTTTTAGTAAAACCATTAAATAATCTTCATTTATTTCTCCGCGATGAACTCTTAAACTACTGAACTGATTTCAATGAAATTTTGCACACTGTACAGTTTGGTCCAACTTGAGAGATACGATAGTTTTTATCCCGATAAGTGACCCTTAACATTTTTTATTAGGAACTTAAAGATTTTTTTATTGGAGAAAGGGTCATCTCAGGAAATGGCAGAACAACGTCTGCCTGGTCAGCTAGTTGTATAATAAAATGCAGCTAAGGCTACTAACTCGTAAGGGGGCTTCATATATAAATTGTAACAAAAGTAATTAAACGTTGCGTGATACTTATCTAAAATTCCAAAAGGCGGCCACATAACTATTAAATCCTTAATGAAAGTTCAGTTGGACTTTCATTAAGGAATATTTTGAACAACACAAGCAGAGCCAACATTAACATTTGCGATAAAAAATACCTTTTATAATATAATTTATATTATTATACCTTTTATTATATTAATAATTTTATAGTTCGAGATAAATTAAAATAATCCACGTGCGGTGAAGTTCCTAAAGTAACTGTATCTGCGACTTGTCGTCACTGGTGATAAGATGGCTGGTTCTTTTCTCGCTCAAAGGTTAAAGTATAGCTTCAGCGAGTAGCCGGCGTTCTTGGCACTATACCGGAGGTAGCAAAGCTGTATGATCATTTTGGTTTTTAGATTTAATTTTGTATATTTTTGTGTTATGTAAATTAAAGTATTAACAATAAAAAAATCCAATCCACTTGTAATTCGTTTACTGGATTCAATTATGTAAGAGTTTAATTTCTATTATATAACTTGCTTCGCCTGGTAGTGGCGTCGTAAAAGAATCAATTAGGTACCGCATAGCTGTGGTAGCTCAGATGATTAGCGCTCGCTGAAAGTTTCACAATACGAGAACAACCTGGGTTCGATCGCCGCTGGCACCAATGAAATTGTTAATTGCAATTTTAAGTGCTGATTTACCACGTGCTCGACGGTGAACAAACAAGCGATATAAATATCCACTCACGACGGCGGCCGGGACCTGCATGACGAATGACAAGACGAAGTGAAACGGTGTATTTAGTAAAATAAATTAATACAAGGCTCACAAACCACCGAAAATTTCGCCCAAGGCATGCAAAAATACCTTAAAATAATTATTAAGAATTAATTGTTTTCTTTTAATGAAATCAATTTTAGGAAAAACATTAAATAATCTTTATATATAAAAATTACGTGTCCCGTTGTTTGTCCGCGATGAACTCTTAAACTACTGAACTGATTTCAATGAAATTTGCACACTCTGTGCACTTTCGTCCAACTTGAGAAATAGTTTTTATCCTGATAAGTGACACTCAATATATTTTTATTTCGAATTTATGGATTTTTTTATATGAAGGGTCATCGAAAAGGGCAGAACAACGTCTGCCTAGCCAGCTAGTATAAATTAAAATAATGGATGGAATGGATAGTTATATTAAAAAAAATATGGTACATACTTGATGATGGAAAATTTTGAAGCAATAGTTACACGAATGAAAAACAACGGACCATCTTTACTAAAATTACATAGATATTTTTTCTGGTTTCTGTTAGTTTATTTGATAAATTACATGATATGGGTTGTTACTCGTAAAATTTTGATTGTCGGTTGTGGGCTAAGTTCACATTCGTGATAAATAATGTTTTTTTGTTAAGTTTTTAAAAATTTAATTATTCTGAAAGTACTGTGAAGTGCAAAAACAATATAATTAACATTTAAAATCAAATTCCGTAGATTTCAACTCTAAAATTCCGTAGATCTACGGGAAAATCCGTAGATTTGGCAACGCCGCTGTGGTCCGCACAAGCGAAGTTTATAGCGATAAAACGCGATGTGTGCGGCCTACACATATATAATATCTAAAATGGTAGATAAATGTTATACTTATATGAGTTACTAAATAAAGTTGAATTCAAATGACGGCCATGCTTTTTACTCTCCTTATTTGTTTATAAAATTGTTTATCCGAATGTGAATACACTTACATAATTAAATTTAATAGTCGAATACTAAAATAGATGATTTGAGTTTTCGATTGTTAAATTTAATAAAAAAGAAAGTGTCACTAAAATATTTGGTAGTACAACACTTGTAAATGTATTTTTTCATGTAGTAATAAAAATGATCTTGTTCAATAAATGTTTTTAAGATATAAGTATGCACATAATATTTTTTATAGGATAAGAGTGGCAAACGAGCACACATGCCACCTGATTGTAAATGGTTGCTGTGGCCAATAGATATTTACATCTATTCTCCATTACGAATCAAAATGCAAATGCATTGTCACCCGTGATGACTAAGATGGAATGCCTCGTTTCTAGTAAGAATGGTCTCCGGCTTTCTATGGAATGGCTTCACAGGAAATACAGCAGCGTTAAGCTGCTATTTTACGCTGGCATTCTGTAGAGCGTAGTCCTTCCCCAGTCGAACAGACCCATTTGTGTTATAACTATACTAGTAATATAGCTGCAGCATGGCTTTACCTCATATAAAAAATGTTAATAAATGGTAATGAGTATACATCCAAAATTATTTTATTCTCAATTTCGTGATAACCTCTAGCATATACGCCACACGGGTAAATAACTAAGCAGGCGGCGGCATTGTCTGACATCAAAGGCGTTTCACAACTATAAGACTAGTAGACTATGTTATGGTAGACTGTAGTATTGGTTAATAGTATTGTAATGATGTTATAATTTTGTAAAAAAATAAAAAATAAATTGTGCATAATTTACATTGAATACTTTCAGATAAAAAACGAGAGGTGATCGCCTCGTCGAAAGCCATAGTGAAAGCCTCAAGTGAAGTGGCGGCGCTGGCTAGGAAACTAGCGCTAGAGTGTACGGACGTTCGCATAAGAAATGTATGTATATTTATTTAATAAAGTTCAACAATAGGGCCAAATTAAGACATATCTCCACGTTTTGAAGTCCATGCAATCAGATTCTACTTAGGGTAGGTTAGTAAGCTGGTTTTAGAGAGCCGTGGTAGCTCAGGGGCTAAACGTTCGCTGTAAATTTCACAGTACGAGAACAACCCGGATTCGATCCCTGCCGCCACCAAGAAAATTGTTCAAATTTTAACTGCTGATGTACCACGTGCTCGGCGGTAAAGGAAAATATCGTGAGGAAACCTGCATGTCTGAGAAATAAGAAAAAATATTTCGAAGATATGTGGAGTTGGCCAACGCACATTGGGACAGTACAGCGTTGCGCTTACCTCATTTGATCGTTGATGGCATTAATATATTAGTCCCAAGTTCACTACGTTGCAACTCGTAGCTTGTATTTGTAGTACCGCTATACTGTCGGTCAGTATTCTGATGGAGAAGTCTTTTACCTTCCTAGCATCTATTGCTATGGCCGCTTGGATGATACTCATACATTCCACCTGAAGGAGTGTGTTATGGGTACCCAGCGGTGTACATATGTGGATATTGTCTTCTGAGAAAGTTCCAGATCCTACAACTTCATTTGTTTTGGAACCATCCGTGAAAGCCGCTCGCTGATTCCTGGCGGATATCTTAGAGCTGGTCCATGCGGCCGCACAATCCACTAGGGCTGGATTTTTATTCTTCCCAGTTTCAGCGCGGCTACTGGTTCCAGCCCCAAGCACCGTAGCGTGCCCAGCCTTCTTGATGTTGCTCTTACAAGCAACCAACGCGGCCCTTTCTTTACAGCCTTTTTGTCGCTCCTTCTTATTCTTTTTCTTGGTCTTTACTCCACTGTCTGCTGGAATAGACCCACCTGATGGATAAATCAGGTTGGCAAGTCACCTTTTTGGGTGGCTTGCCCTTCCCCTTACGGTTCACCATTTGCCAGGTAGCAGAGAAAATTTCGCGCGTTCTTTGGGGCTCCGCAGAAGGTTTGCTACTCGCGGTCCCTTGCTCCTTTCTCGCGTCCAGCTCCTAAGGGTTGGCACTAGTTTTGGTTACATCCAGCGAAGAAATTGCTCCCTTGGTGGGACTATCTACGTTGGATGGTTTAGTCCGTCGAACCGTCTGTTTATTGGCAGTTCCTCCTTGTTCATTGGTATCTCTGGTAAGCGCCTCTGACACCTCTCCCTCTGTTCTGATGGACCTTAAATTGTCCATATTTTATGTGTTTAAAATTTGTCCCCCTTGCTTCCCATCCTTCATGGAGCACGCACCTATGGGAACGGCCTTACTTTAAAACGAAAAGAATTTCAGGCGTTAGGATTAAAATGAGAATATAGGAACGTGAATTTGGTTCACAGCGCAACATCGCGAAATCCATCTGGCAGATAAGGCTGAAAAGGCCCATCCTACTACCCAAATACGAGTAGACTGTGATTTGCTCTGTCACTATAGCCTTTACCACAAACTAGCCCTTTTCAAGAAAAAATTTTATTGGCATTTGGCCATTTTCGCGTCTGTGGCTAGCAAATAGGGCCGCCGTTTGGCTTGAAATCCAGACCAAAGAGGGCGTGCTGCCTCTTGCCATCGTATATATATAATATATATGTCACTGGGGTATCAGCGACGATCGGCTCAACCCTCCAGAACTCCTTCATATGCATAGGGCGCTCGACTGCGCAGATCCGAGCGCAGTTTTTTTTTATAGGATAAGGGTGACAAACGAGCACACAGTTCACCTGATGGTAAGTGGTTGCTGCGGCCCATAGACATCTACATCTATCCTCTATTACAAATCAAAATGTAGATGCGTTGTCACCCGTGAGGACTAAGATGGAATGCCTCATTTCCAGTAAAAAGGGCCTCCGGCCACCTGCACTCACCAAGCGAAACGCAGAGGTAACCTCTACTTCACTCTGGTTTTCTGTGAGGTCTTGGTACCACCCCAGTTCGACCCGGCCCATCCGTGCGACAGCAAAAGCTGTGTGTCAATCCACCAGATACACCCACTCTCTCAGCTGATATCAATTTATTAGGCAATCTCAAAATCAAAAAAATATTAGTAAAAAGTACGGGATGAAATCGAAGTTAAACTCGTATTAGAACAGAACGACGTCTGGCGTGGACTTTAAATTCGAAAAGCCGTGGGGCTCGAATCCGCCATGCGACTACTATCAGGAATCACACCTTACACAAGAATTTTAATAGTAATGTCACTAGCATTATTAATATTCTTTTAAATTAATAAATAAGCATACACACATCTAAATAAAACATTAAACGTGCATTTATATTACATTGTACATCATTAACATCGTCATCGTCATTATAGCCCTTCACAAGTCCAATGCTGAACATCGGCCTCCTCCAAGAAACGTCACCAAGTACGCTTCTGAGCCACCTACATCACGTGTCACTCCATCTAGTGGGGGGAGGGTCGTCGGCACGAGGCTACTCAACAACTTCTCCATCCATACATATTACTATTTGATTTTGTGAAGGGAAATGAATTCCTCTTCAATAAGTCTTTAAACTAATTACTAATTTAAAGTTTTATACGTTTTTATTAACAATTTCATGGAATTCTTGTAGAATCTTCTGCAGATTTGCGACAGGATACCAACCATCAGCGGCCAGTTGAAAATGTTGACAACGATAAAAGGATCGTTTTTGGGACGGCTAGGTAACAACACATGTAAATTATTTTATTTTTAAGTTCCGACTCTAATTGTACTCAACACAATTACCCCATGGTTTGTCTAAGATTTTTTTAATGCATTTGTCATAAATTGTTTGCCTAGATACTATTAAATTTGTGATTTATAAAATATAAACTTTTTTTACAACACTAAAACGATTATTATTTGCCGAAAGAAAACACAGCATCGCTTATGAAGAAGCAGTGTGCACTCATCTTTATAATCCAAGATCCCAGGGCCACCAGATGTCACTTATTTTCTGACGAACGAAACATGTATGATTGAGTAGTGTTAGAATATACTTGTGGTGGTTTTATAATGTGATAATATAATAATATGAGCGGGTAGGGAAAGAATTATAAGTCTGCATTGAGTGATTAAACTGCCCGCTACGTAATCCGTATTTTATTGTAAAATGTATTCCTAAACAGTACAATACTATGATCGCATGCTTACCTGCTAGCTTGGCCAGTGGGCCGTTTTCCAGGTATCAGGTAATCAAGGTACGTAAAAATATTGCTCACCTCATGTTTATTCTTCCAGGTCACTTTGATTTTTCTGATTTTTACATATAATATGTTAGATAATATCGTTAAAATCAGTCATCAATACTCCCAGATACTCCGTTGGCAGTATCGTTTTGCAGACACCTTCAAGCTCTCAAAAAAAATTACTCAATTTGACTTGCATTCTGAAGCTTCATTTATTATTATAAGCGATCCAAGGGGTCAATCATTACCTAGACCAAATTTTAATGACTCTCTGGGTATGAGCGCGTGGGCATTATCCGCGCGCATGATCGTGAGTCACTTTGTAGGTCTAGGGGTCTTCTTTTCTAGGGGTGATGATAGGCCAAATAGGAGTGAGGTCATTTGAAGCATTTCTTGTTTGTAAAACGTTACATGAAAGGACTTTGTGACATTGCTATTGGTAGGTGGAAATATGCATATGAAATGTAGACCTTTACCACCCAATCTCCAAGTTGAAGGAACTCTGGTGCACGGCTTATAAGATGAAAATGATTTATTCCTACAAACTTCTTTGATTCCCGAAGGCTGAATATTGGTCCCAAGCCACTATTGCTCTTTTTACAGTAAAATGCGGGAGAAGAAATCGGGAATCCAAGATGTAGGTTTTTCTAAAACTCCATTACGTTTCAGTTCGTTTATCTGTACAGTCATCTGGGATGAAGCTTTTTTTTTGCATAGCTTCGAGCTACTATTGGTGAGGGGAAGCTCCAGAGCAGGTCTCTGAATAAAAGATGTTGATATTGTTTTTGGATAAAAGGAGCAGTTCCGAGCTGCTGCCACTGGTGCCTGAAGTTCTTTAATTATCTCCCACTGAATTCCCCCTCTGAGTCATTATTTATCTCTGTCAAGGGAGCGAAAGGACGACATTTTACTTATGCCTTTACCTTTTCCTTTGCCTCTGGAAGGGCCGTTTTGGTAATGAGAATTAAAATTCTGGTAACCAGTGTTCCTCTGGGAAAATTCTAACTTTGCGTTTCTTGACTTGATCCAATGTGTAGGGCCACCAAATTTTTAAATAAGAGTATTTAATATAGGTTCGTCGAATAAGCCAATTTCAGATGAAGGAATATTTTTCAAGGATAACCGAATACATTTGTTAGGCACGTCTTTAATTAATTTCTCCCTTCTAGTTTCAATGCATTCAGCTCTTTTACCACATAAATCCTATAAGATATCTTCAGAATTTTTATTAAAAGCTGTGCCTCTTTCAATAGCAGAGCTTATCTTTTACGCTAGTACTGGTGCATTGAGTTCCTTTGGGGATTTCACAGCCCAATTCACTACTGTCTGTTCGGAGTGATTAATTGCTTTCAAAAATGGCATTTGATAATGTTGCCATTACACTTTCAGTACCTGGTAAATAATCTTTAGATTTGTTCACATCACACAATTCGTCATTAACCCTAAGTTGAGTAAACACTGGGATAGCTATAGAAGAATGTAGAGTCTTGGAATATCTTACATTTTGCCATGTGGACGAGCCAAAATGTTACAATGTATTTATTTTCTCCACCCTTTCCGGAAGGACTGTGTTTATTATTTTACTTTCATTAATATTGATGGCTATTGAACCTAGAACAAGCATGGGATTTTATTTTGGTATAGTAAGAAAGTTATCACAAGTATAGGCATTAACATCTTGTAGGTTATTTTGCGAGCTGCCGATACTCTGCGTGTAAATGTTTCATAAAAATACTACCTGGTTTATGAGATCCCCTATACGTGGGTCTTCATTTACATTTTTTTGAAAGCAGGCCTTCAACTTTCGAACCAACATGGAGACGATGAACTCGACTCATTTTCAATCGTATCCGTAACGTCAAATGATTTTTCCCAACACGCTGCGGGGAATCAGCGTTGCCACTCATTTCAAATAAAACTTGTAATACTTTTGTAGCGTAACTTAAATGTGTCTAACAAGGCAGCATGTAACACACGTAATGACACTAACAGGCAAAGAATACTAATGTAACAGGGCCTTGCGGTGACAGTCCACAAGCATCATCAAGATTGTCAATTGTTAAGGGTATCTATATAAAAGTAAGTGCACACTGCTTCTTCATAAGCGATGCTGTGTTTTCTGATAGACACAATGAATAAATCTGCTATCCTTTATTATAAATCTGATATTGTTTGGATGTTTGGACTTATTTCTGCAGCCAAATAGTATTGTTTCCACTGTTGTGTTGCGGTGTGAAGGCGTTAGATATATACGTGGTAGAGTCATGCTGCAGAACCGAAAGAATAAACTACTAAAAACCAAGTAAAATAGAAACAAAAAAAAAAATTGAGAGTTGTAAATTTGTAGAAATATATAATTATAAATTCCTATAGATACTTAATTGTTTGAATAAACTATTTTGATATTAATAATTTTTTTCATTTCTAACAATACAATGTGGGTACCTACTTAAATTTAAACAAACTGCTAATAACATAATAATAAACGTTTCGTCTTTCAAAGCTACCTACAATGTTCCGTACGAAAATTGGAAAACGGAAACCTTACACAGTGCCTTTCCATCTGTCCATCCGTTCAGTCTCTTGTTTTCAATAACCGAGTGACAGCTCTATGAAATTAGATAAGAATTTTGTACTCTCTCTTTCATTCTGCTCTGTTTTATATATTCTTATGCTTTGGAGTTGAGTAATTCACGGTACTACTACTCTTAGCTTATGCTACTTCCTAGTATTAAGGTACAACATGTTCATCACTAGTTTTACTTTTTTGTTTTTTGTATATATGCCTATATATTATAATATACAACATTTAGATATGGAAAATCGTAACCTTCAGGCACAAGTATAATACCTAATAGGTTTGGCCCCATCTTTGTAATAAAAACAACTATCATTGTTATAGAAATATTTTTTTTGATAATAGATAAAGATTTGCTTCTAGGTAACCAAGAAGACAAAGAAGCCCTAAACATGCTGGTTGATAACGCCCAGAATTTGATGCAAAGCGTAAGTTTGATTTTTTAATAAATTTAATTATTTAAGGTTATATTTTAATTCGTAACTTTATTCATTGGGAGTATATATTTGGCCTCGTACCGGCGGGTGAAGTGTAGGGCGTCCCCCCACTAGATCGAGTGACGACCTGGTAAGACATGCAGGAAGTCGATGGATGCAGGTGGCTCAGGTGCGTGCTTTGTGGCATTCCTTGGCGGAGGCCTATATTCAGCAGTGGACTTGGGATGGGCTGTAATGATGATGATGATGATGATGAAAATATTAATTGCATTATTAGAAAATAAGCTTATATTATATAACAAAATACTTCTATTTGTACTACTTAACGGGCACTACGGTACTGAATTTAAATTTACATTGTGCACTAACGGTCAATTATCCGTAGCTTCTTTAGTCAACTACGAGCGGGAGAGAACATTAGCTCTTTGTTTTGTAAACCGCGAAAGCTGTTTTCGATAATCTAGTTTTGTAATTGAATATGTACTATACATAAGAGTATATTTGTCAAAGTGAGAGTGTAATAAATTTATTATTATTATTAAAATTAAATTAAAATCTAACACATTTTGTTAAATATGACTAAGAAAACGCTGTCATTATTTATGTCCGCAATTTGTCAAACTGATTTGAAGTTGACTAGCTGTTTCACGAGACTTTGCCCGCATAAAAGTATCCTAAGTTACTGCTTAGAATATCAGCTATTTGACAGTGAAAGTTTCATCAAAATCGGTCCAGCCGTTTCAGAGATAAGCCGGAACAGACAAACAGATAAAAATTATAAATATCAGCATAAAATTTCATTTTCATGCTTGTGTGTTTTGTTTGGTGATTATAGAGAAGTAGAAAACCTTTTTACTGAAAACAAGGCATAAATCAATCAATTGGAATCGAGGCACCTTAGTCCTTAGGGATGCCAACGCGTCTGCATTTTGATTCTTAATGGAGAATAAATGTATGTCTATGGACCACAGCATCCATTTACCATAAGGTTGACTGAATACTCATTTGTCACCCTTATTCTATAAAAACTATTGATAAATCCAATTGTGCATGCCTTAAGCGCATTAAAAAAATTACATATAACATGATTATACCAAAAATTTTAAAGTAGTTTAGCTACGCACAAGTTTTCACTAAAAACCTTATAATTATGTAATTATTAATATATAATTATTAATATACTTCCAATATTCCGATAAACTTATGTCACTTTTCAATTTTAAAAAAAGCTTGGAAAATCCAAATGTACACGGCTCATAATGCTCATATGATCGTCAAAATACTAAAAAAAAAATGTAAATTGTAGTTCTATTCATCAAAGAGTTCCAGTAGCACTGAAGTAAACCTTCTAGTTACTCCATCAAGTACGGAGGTAAGGTTTATTCATAACTAACAAAACAAGCCCAAACTCGGGACACCTAGATCTAATCTTCGAGGAGTTCGAGTAGCATTCACCGAAGTATACCTTCAGGTCATTCTATCAAGTCCGGAGGTAAGGTCTCATCATAACTAATAAAACGGGGTCAAACTCGGCACATCTAGTTCTCCTCTACGGCGGCGGCAGAGCGTGGAGTGAGGCAGAGCAAAGTGTATTTAGTAAAATAAATTATTACGAGGCTGCTCAAAATACCGAAAGTTTTGAGATTGCTTAGCCAAAAAAAAATTATAACTAAACAAAACAAAATTAAACTGCTATTTACATTCCATGGCTTTCCAGATGATGGATGAAGAGAATAAAAAATAGATTGAGTTAAACAATTGATATTTTCAAAAGTTATCGTGTTTACCCCTCCATGCGGAAACGACAAATCTACACCATAAGCCACTAAAACTACTTTTTTAAGTAAAAATAGCAATTAATCGATTTAAAATATTAATAACTTTAACAAATATTTACTTTTCTGACAATGCGCTTTTTATATCATTTATATATTATACATGATTGTCAGATAAGAATTTATGCGACAAAACGTTGGAATCTTGATTTTTAGGCGCTAGTAGCATATACGCGCTTTGCGCTTAAGGCATGCAAAATTGTTTTTTTGTTATAAGTACCGTATATACTCCTATATGCGTTTACTAAAAAGCTGTTATTTTGACATTAGATATACATAAACTTTGTTTCGTATTTGCCTAAACCAGTAAAGAGCCGTGGTAGCTCAGATGGTTAGCGCTCGCTGTAAATTTCACAGTACGCGAGCAACCCGGGTTCGATCCCAACCAGCACCAATGAAATTGTTAATTGCAATTTTAAATGCTGATTTACCACGTGCTCGGCGGTGAAGGAAAACATCGTGAGGAAACCGGCATGTCTGAGAAGTAAGAAAAAAAATATTTCGAAGTCATGTGAAGTTCGCCAACACGCATTGGGGCAGCGCGGCGGATATTTCCTTGCCCTAAAACCCTTTCATAAATGAGGAGTGGCCTGTGCCCAGCAGTGGGACGTATATAGGCTGTAACTTTATAACAGTAACTATCGTAATTGAAAATACAACTGTGTGGCATAACGTGCCAGATTCCCGCTCGCGCCTGCGCTCGCGCGTTTCACAGCTGTTAGACAGTGTTCGTTTTGATTTGCCACTCTAGCATAAAATGTCCCCACTTTGTCAACCTGATTTGAAGTTTACTTCTGACTAGCTATTCCCCGCGACTTCGCCCTCATAAAAGTAGCTTAAGTTACTGCTTAGAACATCAGCTATTTGCCAGACATACATAGAAGTATTTAATTCGGTGAAGATATAGGACTTAGCAGTGAACTTTATTCATAGCAGAAATCGTAATAGATCATGCTAGTCGCAGTGGTACTGTTTTTTTTTTATAGGATAACGGTGACTAACTAGCACACAGTCCACCTGATAGTAAGTGTGGATGCTGTGGCCCATAGAAATCTACATTTATCCTCGATTAAGAATCAAAATGCAGGTGCGTTCTTACCCCTGATGGAATGCCTCGGTTCCAGTAAAAATGGTTTCCGGATCTCTACACTCACTATGCGAAGCAGCAGTATGAAGTTACTATTTACGCTGGTATTCAGTGAGAGCGTGGTCTTTCTCCGGTTGAGCCGACCTATTCATGCTACAACCATAATATAGCTGCACCATGGCTTCACTTCGAATGAAAACCGGATCTGGTTACCCCTGAATAGCTGCTATTATGGCTTCTTTGTTGGCTGCGGATGTCCGTGTGTTGCAGTGGCGTTTTCCATCAAGTGGACGGTAGTAAGTGCGTTTGTAAGTCCATATGTATAATAATCAAATACCCAAATAAGACTTCAAACAGAAAAACTTTTGCACTGAACTGAGATCTTCATTATCGTGTACCATGGTAAGATAAAAGTCCTTAAACGCAAGGCATCCGCTGTAGTTACCGTGGAATCAGGGCAGCATCACCTTAGGCAGGTTAGGTTTATAGTCACCGTCATGTCATCGCTATTGCTTACGTCTATTCGACCCTCAGCTGCCTGAGTTTTGTCGTAAATTCTTAGCTTGATATATTGACTTCCTCCAAACTTTAAAACAATTATGTCAAGCGGTCGGTTGCAATGTCCAGACTTGATGAGATCCATGGCAGACTCGATGTTCGATTACTCTCCCAATGCGTATTCGATATGGGTTATTCGGTCTTTAATATTATAATATTTCTTTACCTTAATGAGGCGTTGCTCTTCTTCAGCCATTGCAGTCCCCTCCCCACCGCCAATGTTTTATTAAAAACCTCGTGTTGCGTATTACGTTTACTCGATTTAAATTGTAATTTCGGTAATAAATATTGAAGATTACAAACTTGTTATGACCATAGGCAAAACGTAGGGCGAGGCAATGATAATAAAATAAATAATTATAACTTTTAACAAAAAGTAAAAACCGACTTAAAATTGCTAAAAAAGAAGTTATTTATTTGCTACTCTTAGGGCTGAAATATATGGGACCGCAATTGAAGTATATAACCTATTTTATAAAAAAAGAATCTACGAAATTGGTTTACAATCTGCGAAGATATCGCGTGACGTACATGCAAAAGAACATACTCGAATTGAAAACTTTTTTCGTTTCCACTTCAGTAATTTGGTATATTATTAAGTCATGACTTACAAAAATTAGTAAAATGATGCGCTGTACTAATTTTTGCCATTAAAATCAAAAACGAAAAATATATTAATTATATTAAAATATAAAATTAAATATATAAAATAAATGTTAATTTATGGAGTAAAGGTAATAAAGTTGCAAAATTAAATCATCAATCGTAGACAAATCATAGTTATTAGGAACGTTACCCTAGGACTTTACTAACACTAGGATTTTCTTCTGTATCGTGGAGGCAGTTTACAAACATAAATTGCACAAGGACAAACATCCAGACCTGGAGCAATTATTTGCAGACCATACAAATACTTGTTCCGTCCGGGATTCGAACCCGCGAATCAGCAACTCATTGCTAAGCCACTGCGCCACGGAGCCGACATTTGATTAAGGCTCGTAGATACTAAATAATATTATCGATACTGTAACAGGTTCAGGAGGTGGTGAGTGCCGCGGCGAGTGCCTCTGTCAAGATAATGTCACAGCGTGCGCGCCCACGCATCAGATGGGTCAGGAAAAACTACTACGCATAGGAACGAAATCTGAACGAAATCTCTTCTTCTTTCTCTCCCTCTTTTATTTGGATTTTTCAACGCTGACATAACAATTTTGTATTGTATACAACACAGAATAATTGAGTAATATATAATATCAAAATTTTGTAACAGTTTTACACAGAAACTGTTACAAATTTTTGATATTATATAGTTATTTCGACTGTACTCGTACATCCATAATTTTAATATATTAAAAATTTGTTTTGTTTTTCTTTCAACATAAAAATATACTCAATATTTATGTATTATAGTGTAGTTATTCATTTAAAAATGAAGTCAGATGGCTAAATACTCACACGCTACTCAATTTTAAGATGTCATTAAGTCACGTGGTGTCCCAGTCACTTTGACTTAAAATGATCCAGACAGCACAAGACAATGGCATCTTAAAATTGTAAATAAAGTTTTATTCGGACCTTATCATATTATGTGTACTACTCAATTATTGATTGAGTAGTACACATATTACAATTATGTATAGAGTTTGACATCGTGCATATGACTACCACGAGCACAACGACAGTGATCGATTTTTGGATTCAATTTTCAATCACTCTTTTTCACATATCAGCTGGAATGTTGGTAATATTGTTTTCAATATTGTTCCTGAGCTCCTCTAACGTTGTTGGGTCGTTGGAAATCCTACGACGTCAAATTGCATGAGCGAGGTGGCCATTCAAGTGGACCATTTCCCGTAATTAAACAATCACCAAATTTTCCTTTCAATAAATCAATTATTTGACCTGCGTGGCATGTGGCACGATCTTCTTGGAACCACATATTGCTGATGTGAAGTCCATCTTATTTTGGCCAAAAATAGTCTTCAAACATGGGGATTATTTTCATTGACGAAAAAATAGGGCCCTATCACACCTCCGACATGAAATCCACCTCTGTCAAATTCGCGGTACTGGACTGGCCAATTGACAAAATTATATTTTTTCACAACTTCACTTGCCAAACGGAACTTCCTAAAATTCGTTGCCAGCTCTCCGATTATGATTGACGTTTTGATTTAGACAGATCATAGAAAAGTATGTAGGCTGTGTTTCGTATTATAAAACAAAATTGTTATGTCCCTATTGAAAAACCCCGTATATCGCTGCAATCTGTTAACCGTACAGATGAAAAAATAATAAGTTTTTTTTTAAATAATAAGATTTTTTTCATCTGTACAACTTATGGGAGAATAATTTTTTACCACTTTATTGGATATATAGATAATTATTTTAGTTTTGGATTTGATTTATATTTTTGTTAAAAGTTTAATTATGTTACGTTATAAATTCGTTAATTACTTTGCAAAATAATTATGTATTCAAATAGAAAATAAGCCAGTTAATAAGAAAGATGTAAAATAGACTTGCAAGAAATACTTAGTATATTTGGCCACATGCCTAATGCCGAATATTCTGCGGATTTCCTGGCTGAATAGCCGAATATTAGGCAACAGTATTCGGCCGGGAAGAAAGTAGTGTTTGTTCTTCAGAGCGTCTATTCTCTGTAGCTGGGGTTGTCTACTAGAAGAAAAGAAGTAAACTAATGCCTGAAAATGAAAAAAGAAATTGTCTTTCTGCACCATTATCTTCCATTTTAATTACGATAATTCAAGTGCATGGACATTTATCTGATATTTCTTTGTTAGGGCCAACGGAATATTACAAGTCTCCGCTGTCCGTCGGTCTGTCAATGGACTATATCTCATGATTCGTAATAGTTAGACAGGTGAAATTTTCACAGAATGTGTATTTTGTTGCCGCAATAACAACAAATATAAAATAAAATTAAAATTAAAATACCTATAGAAAAATTCCTAATAGAAACGTGTTTTACGATGGAACCCTTTGTGTGTACCCGACTCGCACTTGGCCATTTTTTTTAGTTTTATGATATGGAAGTAATTTATATTTATATATCTATGACTACTTTAATGCTTACAAGAAAAAATATTAATTATGAAATAAATAAATATTTTCGTTTTACTAATTATTTGACTACAATAAAACCTCTTACTTAAGTATTGGGTATAATAAAATACTAGATATTAGGTATTCGACGGATAGGATAAAAGTAGCCGAATAGGCAGAATACCGAATAATAACCGAATGTTCGTGGCAAGTCTAATGTAAAATGATTTTTATATTTTTTATATAATAAATGAATCACGCTTGATGCATAATTTGTTTCCTTAATTAACCTTTTTTATAAATCCTAAATTATTTTGTCTTTGTTAAAAGTTAAGAGATTATTAAAAAAAAATTAAAATATTTTATCGAGTGGTGGACATGTCAGTAGTTTTTTGGTTAAGAAACCATATCTTTGAGAAGGAAGGCAAGTTGCAGTCTCGTACCAGATTTAGACCGTAATTACTTTCTGACGAGAGCGGATGATCTATTCTATAGGGACGTTATTTCTTGTGCTAAAGGACTTACCCCTCTATCCTTAGCCAACGAGCAATGGCAAGACCCGGCAGTACAGAGCATTTCCGACCGGGAGACCCTATGGAAAGAGAAGGAGCTCCACTGAAGGTTCTACAAGGCTCTACATGAGCCTTGCGTAGACACAGTCGCCTCCCTCCACTGGCTACGTTTCGGTGACCTCTTTGGGGAAACTGAGGGTTTTGTCTGTGCGATACAGGATCAGGTTATTAAGACCAACAATTATCGGAAATACATCCTAAAGGATGGCGCCGTCGACATCTGTCGAGGTTGTCGCCATCCCGGTGTTATTCGGCGCTTTCTAACTCTGAGTATTTGCACAGACACAACCTAGTAGCCAGGATTCTACACCAGGATCTCGCTCTGAAATACGGTCTCGTGGATCGGAAACTGGCATATTATAATTACTTGCCGGAAGCCGTGCTCGAAAATGACCGCGCCAGGCTCTACTGAAACCGGGCCATCATCACAGACAGGACTATTCTTGCGAATAAGTCTGATATTGCGCTGATGGACCGGGCACAGTCAAGGATATTTTTGGTCGACATTACCATTCCTTATGACGAGAACCTCGTGAAAGCCGAAACAGATAAGTTGACAAAATATCTGGACCTGGCTCACGAGGTAACTGACATGTGGGTGGTCTGCCGGCCGAAATTATTCCTGTGGTCGTTTCTGCGAACGGGTTAATCCCAGTTAGCCTCTCGGGTCATCTGAGGCGACTGGGACTCCGTGATGGACCGCTCCAAGCTCAAATGTAGAAGGCGGTGCTCCTCGATACCGCCCGTATCGTCCGCCGGTTTCTTTCCTTTTTCCCCTTACCCTCGGCCGTTTGGTATCCCCTGCCGAGGGCTTCCATCTGGTTGGGTTTTTTATATATTTATGTATTTTTTATGTATTTATTCTATTTTATTGATATTGCAGCATGCGAACCGCCAGTCGACCGCGAGGTGCTGCACGACCACCCAGCAGCCCCTCGCATCCATCATCCCCACCAGCTGGCTTGGTGTTGGTAGGGTCTTCGTTGGCCCAGCAATCAGCACCCGCCACTGGTGGAGTAAGCCGCATGCGTTGGTCAATGCAAATGAACAAAAATGCATTGCGGGCGTATTTTGGGGCGAAAAGGGGAGAAATTGGAGGTTTTGGGTATCGGGCTAGGATGCACCGACTATTTGCTGAGCTGGAGCCATCTATTACCGTTACCGAGCAAAACCTGGCAGACCGAGTTCGGTACATCATGCGCTCATAAATATTTGATGACGCCGAACTCGAACGGCTACGACGTGAGGCTATTCCTTTGTCGAATGAAAATGCTACGACAGGAGATGCGGCTCTTCGAGTTGCAGAGCAACCCGCACATGTAGATGCCGACGTAGATCTCCTTGTAGTTGACTCAGGCAACGATGGAAAAGTCGCCCCAGAACAAGAGCAAATGAGGAGCATAGTGGAAGAGGCGATTAGGGAAACGCGCTAACTAAGCAAGCGGAATCGGGCTGTCGTGGGGGCTCTCAACCTAATGCTGGTGACCTATTTGGAAGCCAGCCGGGACCTTTGCGAGACGGACTCAATTCTTTTTGGCGCCGCACTGGCAGTTTGCCGTATTATTGGCGCCAAATTTCCCAAGGCTGGACGCGCTACTAGACAAAGTAGCGCCATCCCAGCCTGGAGACGAAGGATTGAGGACCGTATCGCAAAGGCAAGGGCCCTCATCGGCAGGCTGATAAGCTTCAGGTCGGGCAATAATAGGCCGAGAATTATGCGCACCGTCAGGATGGCGTTTGCTGGGACAAACATCAGTTTGTCCCAGCCGGATATAACGCAAAAACTGACGGAGCGCATAGACGACCTGAAGCAGAGAATCGCTGCTTGGGGGAAGCGGATTCGGCGATATACCGAGAGGTCGACACGGTTCAACCAGAATCGTCTCTTCCAGAGTGATCAGAAAAGGCTCTATGAATCATTGGAGCGACCAATGGTACGTGGAACGGGCCCAGCACCGAATCAGGCCAACACTATCGCATTCTGGCGCGGCCTGTGGTCAGAGCCCGTAAACCACAGCGAGGGCCCTTGGACGGAAGTTGTGGCGAGTCGGTGTGCGAATGTTACGCCCATGGACCCCGTCATCATTACAAAGGATGACGTAGCTGAGGCGGTCCGTAGGGCCCCGAACTGGAAAAGTCCGGGACTCGACGGACTGCATCACTACTGGCTGAAGGGGTTCGTGGTGTGTCACGCTGTGCTCGCCCGACAGTTTCAAGAGGCTCTCGACCAAAAGTCGCTCCCGAGCCTCTTTACTACTGGGATCACTCATTTGGTTCCTAAAGACCGGGATTCCACAGACCCGAGCAAATACCGCTCCATAACGTGTCTACCTACCATATACAAGACACTAACATCCATTTTAAGCGCGAGAATCACTCGTCACCTGAACTCAAATCAGGTGATGTCGTGCGCTCAAAATGGATGTCGGGGCGGCGGTCTTGGAACCAAGGAACCTCTCCGCCGCCTGGATAGACTACAAAAAGGCATTCGACTCGG